GTAGATGCCAGTGAGAAATGAGGAGTGCAAATTAGAATCTCCATTTTATTGCTTAGATATCAGACCATAGAGTGTTCAAGATCACACAGATAAACCCCACCAGAATCCAAATAAAAACACTGCTCTCTCTTGTTCCTCAAGTACAAGAATCTGAAAATCTACACATAGTTTTTTGTAATTACTTCAAAGATAAATAAACAATATATCTGAGAAAAGTAATGGTATACTGCAGATCATACATTTTAAAATGCTGGCCCATTTTATAGGTAATGAAAGGTAAGATGCAGAAGTATGATCACTTGACCAACTTCAGAGAGATAAAAGCCACTGTACAAGCAAGGTCAGAGAAATAGAAATGCCATTGTACAACAAACTTAAATTCTGAAATTTCATTTGTATGAATAATGTAAAGTTAGAAAACATAGTTATGTTTTACCTTTTTCTATTGTCTTGTCTTCATCAGCTTCTGAATACATTTTCTGTTTCATTTTTCATCTTAGTGTTGAAGTTGAATTTGTCCTCAACACTGTTCTCAGAGCTAATTTCCGGAGAATAAAATGATGTGAGGTGAGCTATTTAATGAGGTCAATCACTTAATTTCATGTACTATTTTGAGGTAACTGGGCTAATAATGACTTTTTAAAGTCTGCCCTTTAGTACTTTCTTTTCCCCTTTTGTAAAACTATTATTTGTAATACACCAGCAACATTTGAAGATATCAAAGATAGTCTGATATTCTAGTTAAAAAGCTCTTTTTAGAAGTAATAATGCTTAAAATATATTTATAAAATATTTTATAGATATATTCCACATCAAATATATGTAAAAGTGAAGATTATAATATTTTTTTTTACATATATTTTTTACATATATTTGATGTGGAATATATCTATAAAATATTTTATTTCCAGTGATTTTCAGATCTTTGGTTGACTTCAACCTCAACTCTTCTTCAATGTATATGCCTACTTATTAATTTGAGTTGATAAAACTTGTCTTCTGGATTTCTTAACAGCTAACTGAAATATGATGCGAATGCAATCATGTGAGAAGAAATGTTCAAAGACCTAGAGCAGTAATAAATGACTTTTAAAGTATATAATACTCACCACACAAGCAACACTAAGATGGAAATGTAGTAGAGAATTGATAAAACAGCTTTCAGCTTATATTTTGACATAGGAATAAACATATACCTGGTTTTACTTTATTTATTTTGCAGATTGTTAAGTTAGAAATTTAAACATAAACATGACTTTGATGTAGTAAAAAGGATGGAGCCAGTTCTAAATACCAGCCCTGACTCCACTAACCTGGCTAAGTCATTTACATATTATCCTCAGTTTCTTCATTTACAAAAATGGTAACCATTAAGGCCACCTGAAAGGTTGCTAAGGATTAAATATGGTAACAAATTGTAGATTTCTTAGCATAGAACATGGCAAATAGTGAATATCTTTTTCTTTCTTACTACAACTTTGTTTTTACATTTCTCTATATTTATTTTGCTTCTACTTCTTATATTTTAAATACACGTAAATTTCTATTCTGTTCCAGTTTAAATCTTGTACAAGTAAGGACTCTAAACTCACTGCTTCAGTTTCAACCATAAAAGTTAAACGTTTAGTTAATTGCTGTTGGAACAGAGAAAACAACATTTATTGATTTGTCATCTTCCTGAATTTTATCACACCATGTTCATGATCTTTTTCATATCTTTGTCTAAAAATGTAGTCTTTTTTCTTATCTTTAGCTTAGAGCCATAGTATCTGCTTCAGGCATTTACTCTATATATATCAAAACTCAATATTCTATAGCATGACATCAATTCTCTTTTCCAGTAATTTCTCTCATTTGAAAATTGCAGAACAAAACAAATCACAGCATCCACTGTCTGCAAAAACTAGGTGTGTATACCTGGCCGCATCCTCAAACTGTGCAAGTAAATGGAAATCATGGTTCTTACAGTTTTCCTCCCCTAGTAATTTCCTCCCCTAGTAATTAACATCCTTCTTTGAAAAATCTTGCCTGGAGCTCCTACTGTTAGAACAAGTAACACAAATGACACTCCACCTGGAAAAAGGCACTCATGGATTTAGAGATTTGTGATGAACCACACCCTCTCTTTGGGGCCCACATATCTTGAAAGCTCTACTGTAGCACTTTGCTGGTTTCTCCAACACACTGGGGAACATTAACCCATTCTACTTATACTGGAGTATTTGCTTAACATTAACTAGTTAATTTCCACAATCAATAACTCCATATTTTTCAATAATTGCACGATGTGATCTAATAGTGGATCTTAAAGTCAAATTAGTGAGTTATAAGCAGCACTTTAAAAAGTAAAGGAGAATAGAATAATATGGAATAGACTGAAACAAAACAAATTGAAATAGAAAATATCAGAGTGCACCATATTCAATGGTGACAAATATTAATATTATTTTGTGAAAATTTTTTAAATGTGTGTAGTGTATGTGTATGTGTGTGCACCCATGTGTGCATATGCCTGGGTAGTGATGTAAGAGGTATTTCTTCTTGTGGATCATAGTAAAAAAATCTTTGAAAGTCACTCACTGCTCTAATGGACACAGACCGGCCACCCAGATGTTGCTTTAGGGAAGGGTTGTTGCCCAGCTGTGGAAAGTGGTGTCATCAGACATCTTCAGCTGTCAGTCCCTTCAGGGACTGCCTCTGCTGCAGAGCCACCTCATACCTCAGATGAAGTCTCACCATTCCCAGGGTGTCCCATATCCAACAATTGACAAAGAAAAAAAAAGGACCAGACTATTTTGTTCTAAATCAAGTCAACTCTGAAAGGCCATTTTAATTTCAAAGCTCCTCACAGGGCCAATGGAGACTGTTGTTCAGATCTACAGAGCAATTCAGTCTCTCCCTCTACCTGGTCCTGTTCCTTCCTCTTTTCTCCTGTACTGATCCCAAGACACTCCCTCTGAAATACCCCACATGCTGAAGCCCACTCCAGCAGCTGCAGCCCAGACAACCCAACAGTGACACCGAGCTGAGGGAATAACACGTTCTGTGGATCAAGTCAGCCAAAAAGGTTAAGCATGTAAATAAGCAAACATCTTTATATAAAATATAGTGCTTAAGTTTTTACTGAAACTGCCTTCAAAGAACTACATTATGACCACACTCTGCTTACCCTGTTGACTTCTGATGCATTTGACCAAAATGAGAATGCCCATTTATTAACAACAGTCAATCACAACCATTTTTAATTTGCGCAGCTGTCCTAGCTCAAACAAAATATGCTGAAGTGGCTGTAGTGCTTCACTTCTTCTGCCAGCTCTACTTGCATTCACCCCATCTTAGCAGCTTCTTGGCTATTCTTGCTATCCTTTATTGTTCAAATAGGCCCACATCAATGCAGCTGAGAAACAGTGACAAAACCACTGATGCTGTCTATAAGAGGGTAGTATTAATAGTGAACCATGCAAGTTATTTGTGTTAAGCATTACCCATGGAAAAATGTTAAGAAAGCTGTTTAATAATCGGGCTATGTTTTCTGAGACAAATAAAATTCTCATAGCAGGTGAAATATTCTCATAAAAGGTTAACTTGTTTTCTATAATATCAATATTGGCCACAGAGCCCAACTCAATTATTCTGAATGAATTTGGTCAGAGCAGTAAAAAAACAAAAGAATCTATTGGTTTTTATTCTTTTATTCTTAAATTAAAATATTTGTATATGCTCAGTTATTCTCATTGTCTTGCCAAAGGGTTTCAGCCCTGAGCAAGTTCACTATGGATACAATGAGATTAAGGAATGACAATGGAATGTTCCTGGGGTGAAAGGGTTTATACCCAACTTTATTCCCACAGTGGCAGGTAAATCACTAGAATCCCGTCCACTCAGAGCGAGTCTGCATGCAGCAAGCCAGTCTCTGCCTCTGGGCCTCTGCCCCCACAGCCGTCTTAGTCTTTGTCCTCTGCACTGCCACCACTCCAGTTTCTGCTCTCCTGCAGCCTCACAGCCCTACAGCCATGCAGCCATGCAGCAGCCATGCCAACATGTCTCCCAGAGCACTGGGCAGAGCTCTTTATATTATATAGAATCAACAATGTATTGCCCACACATGTGTACTGAGCTAGCTGACCAGGGCCAGGTGAGAATCCTGGCCATAGGAATCTTCACTTTATCCACACTGATGTCACACAGGATACTTCTAACATCTTGACCCAACTCTGACATCTCTTCTTTATTTTCTCCTTCAAATAGATTTCAATCTGTGTCCTCTACACAGGAACCAATGGTAGTAGGTGGGTCAAATTTAAAAGGAAATTTTTTTTAACAAAAGATGGAGAAAATCAAAGAATTTTTAAGTAGAAAATTCCCATGGATGACATTAGCAAAGTACATGTGAGTTTGATAAAAATATGCATTTAGTTCTTCATATTTTGATGAGATACTATCACTGTATAAATTCCAGCAAAGATTAAAACACATTTCTTTTCATTTTATTTCCAAGGAAAAATGGTCATTACTGCAGTCATTTTTTTTATTCATTTTATTATCATTAATCCACAATTACATGAAGAACATTATGGTTACTAGAATCCCCCCTTCACCAAGTTCCCCCACCACAAACCCCATTACAGTGACTGTCCATCAGCATAATAAGATGCTGTAGACTCACTACTTGTCTCTTCTGTGTTGCACATCCCTCCCTATGCACCCCCCCAACATTATACATGCTAATCATAAGGCCCCCTTTCTTTTTCCCTGCCCTTATCCCTTCCTTCCCATCCATCCTCCCAAGTCCCTTTCCCTTTGGTAACTGTTAGTCCATTCTTGGGTTCTGTGATTCTGCTGCTGTTTTGTTCCTTCAGTCTTCCTTTGTTCTTATACTCCACATGTGAGTGAAATCATTTTGTACTTGTCTTTTCCGCCTGGCTTATTTCACTGAGCATAATACCCTCTAGCTCCATCCATGTTGCAAATGGTAGGATCTGTTTTTTTCTTATGGCTGAGTAATATTCCATTGTGTATATGTACCACATCTTGTTTATCCATTCATCTACTGATAAAGTAAAAATAAATAGAAAGATGGATAAGTAGCAGTGAATGAATCTGTTGTGCTCTCCGTAAAATGAGGTTTATTTTCCTCCACAGTTGGAATACACTCAGAGGGGATGGGATATCAGACAAGTTTGGGTGAAGGGAGTGAAGTGGTAAGATCTGACCTAAGGTCCCAGCCACAGCGAGTGAATTAGAGGAAACAGCTGACTTCTAACACCTCTCAATAAAACGATGCAGGATTCCATGTGACCTGGCATTCACAGTGTCTCTGTGGTCAGCCAGATTTCTTTGTTACTCATGCATTTTCTGTGCTAGTAATGTTCCCCTAGCTTTTCAGGCTCCTCCCAGACCTATTACTCCACTTGGAAGTATAGCAATTGTGGCTGCTTGAGGTGGTGACACCAAAAGGGGCCTCCCATCTGCTTCTTCTTTCACACTGCAACTAAAGCTGTTATCTATCATGAAATGACTGTAGAGGCCCAGGGACAGATCTGGGGTTGAAGAAAGGTCCGGCAAAGATTCCCTTGCAAACAGTGCTGTAAACTAACTTGCAAGGGCTGGACAGCCTTTAGGGGGTGAGTTCTTCTCACTGGAAACTCGGGTCCTGTGTGCCTGCACTCAGGCAGAATGGGAAAGAAGTGAGCTTTAGCATGATTAGACCACAGCTGTATTCAACACCATCACCTGTCCCTGTTAACTGAACCACACTGTTCCAGATGAAGGACAATGAGTAATAACTATTCTGTTAAAGTCTGACCTCTGATCAGACATACAACTTTTATCATAGATACTGTTCTTTTATTGTAAGACCTTTCTGTTTACTTCAGGACTTGGATTCAACATAGCAACCAAGAAGATTTTGAAGACTATCTGCTCCTGCAGCTAGATACCTACATGGAGGATGAGGTACAGTGTTCTCATTTTCCATTCAGTGATGCTGAGGACAACTGAGTGTGTTTCGGGGCTGGTAGCCTATTGCTGTTACTTCTTTCCAAGTAAAAATTTCAAGCAGTCTACGTGCCAAGAGAGAAATGGTTAGGAACCTGGTGATGGTATACACATAGATGATCAATAACCAATACAAAGAGGATGAGAACATCTAAGCAAGAAACAACCTAAATAATTCAGTCATGTTAACTCGAATCATTTTATTTGAATAAATTACAATGTCCTGACAAAGAATGGTAAAACATTCACACACTTCAGCTATGAAAGGCAGCATTATAGGCTCACACAAACTCAGAAATAACAAATATTTTCTGCCACAATTTAATTTCTAGACAATCTGGTACTGAGGTGGAATTATCATTTTGCTCTTGGTCACATTTATTCACTTTTTACATGGTATGTAGACTCCATCCCTCAGGGCTGTTCCATGGTTTTCTTCAAGCAGTTTCCAAACACCTAAATTAAACATCCACTCCAAGAGAGAAGAGCTTAATCCTTCCCTAATTATATGATCTGATTGTGAACTGTAAATGTAAATAAATGATGTCAATTAATAGGAAAGACTGGGGATAAAAGCCTTTTTTTCCCTCACTCTTTCATTCCCCATTAGTCACTTTCCTGTGAATAGTTTGTCTCTAAAATGGAATTTCCAAAGTATGTGATTTCTCCCTTTTCCCTTCTCTAAGTAGTAAGCATAAGCCATGCTGGACCATTCCTATTCTCCCTGTTGCTTAAAAAAAAAGTAACATTCTCAAAAACATTAGTGTGGGGAAGCTGGGGTTCCTACCGCCAGGATCCTCACTGAACTTAAACCACCTGATGATGTAATTGGCCTGTTGCTAGGCTACCACTTTCACACCTTTAGGCAATAAGCTACTGTTGTGCTATATAGAGCTGGGCCCAGAGCTCTGGGTGGAGGCAGAGATGCTAGTGCTCGACCTACCGCCAGGAGAACAAGCCGGGTAATAAACCTTTTCACCGCAAAGAACGTTTTGCTGTCAATTTCTTTGGTCACATTGAATCCATAGCTAACTTTTCCAGGGCTGAAACCAATTGGCAAGACAATTAGGAAAGTTTTTTATTTACACTGTATAACATTTAGTTCAGGGAAAATGCCATGAAAGAGTGTATTCATTTACTGTTAGTGCATAACAAATTATCCCAAATGTTAACAACTCAGAAAAATAAACTTATTACCTCACCCATTTTCTGAGAGTCAGGATGGAGGTGGCATACCTGAATGGTTCTGGCTCAGGGTCTCTTAGGCAGTTGCAGTCAAGGCCTAGATCATGGCTGTAGTCATCTCAAGCCTCCACTGGGGCTGAGAAATCCATTTCCAAGACAGCTCATTCACATGGCTGTTGGCAGGAGGACTCAGCTCCTCACCACATTGGCCTCTCCACAGGGTTGCTTGTTCTCATGACATGGAAGCTAATTTTCCCTAGAATAAGAACACAGGTGTGGGCAATGCCTTTATGACCAAGTCTTCAAAGACACATACCATAATTTCTGCCATATTCTCATTGATAGAAGACAGTCGAACCCAGGGGGGAGGACTCTTAGGTTCAACCTTTGAATTTGTTCAAATATTTTTAAACCATCACAGAGGGGAATTCCATGTGAAGGATATCTATCTCAGCAATCTCATACACAATATCTATAATCTCCATCAAAAAATTATCAGCCCTCAAAAAAGTAGATGAATTACTCAGCCGTAAAGAAGAAAATCCTGCCATATGCAACAATGTGGATGAACGTCGAGGACGTTATGACAAAATGAAATAAGTCTGTCACAGGAAGATAATAACTACATGATTCCACTTATATGACTAACGAAAGAAGAGTTCAAATCACAGAAGCAGAAAGCAGAGCGGTGACTACCAGGGGCTAGAGGGAGAAGGAGAATTGCTGTTCAAAGTTTCATTATACAAAATGAGTAAGTTCTAGGGATCTGTTGTACAACACTGTGCTTATAGTTAACAATACTGTACTGTACACTTAAAAATCTGTAGATCTCAGGTTATGTGCTCTTACCACAATGAAAGCCATTAATTAATTAATTAAAAAAGAAAAAGTGGATGATTCACAATAACAAGTTACTTTAGGTGGTTTCCCTGTACTTCAACATGGCTATAGATAAATGCTACTACATATGTTAACACTTCAAGGCGATAAAATGTTTGAAAATTCTTAAAGTTATTAACTTGACCTATCAGTTATAAACTTAGTAGAAAGATTTTTTCTAAAGACAATTCCATCATGCAGCTATTTTTACAGGACAAATGTATTAATTCTGTATTGCTATTATGAATTGCCACAAACTTAATGACCTAAAAACACAATCCTCTTTTATTTTACAGTCCTAGAAATCAGAAGTGTAAAGTAGGACCTCCTTCTGGAGGCTTTAGGAAATTATCTGTTACCCAGCCTTTTCTGGCTTCTAGAGGCAGCCGATTCTCCTTGGTTTGTGACTTCTTCCTCCACTTTCAAGCACCTTTTCTCCTCTCTCCCTGCTTGCCTGTTATAAGGACCCTGTGATTACATCAGGCCCCCAAGGTAAACTAGGGTAATATCCCCATCTCAAGATCCTTAATCACACCTGCAAAGAACCTTTTGCCCTTTGAGGTAACATATGCACAGATTCCAAGGATTAGGACACAGACAACTTGTAGGGGGGGTGGGGTTCATTATTCTGTGCAGCAAATGTGATTCTAGGAGAATATCAGAGTCCAAATAAATTGTGCAAAATACCTCAACAGACTTGGTTAACACCATATGAAAAAGACTTAAATTAATTTGACTTATCTGTTAACACATAACTAGTGACCAAAATGATTGACTTAATGTATCAAAATCACATTTGGCCTTCTTTTCCAAAATCACGACCTACAGGGCTGGTAAATCATATTTGCTTTAATACTTATTTATAGTTAACATCTTGGATAAACTATAATTAGAGCCAGATTGTGTGCATGTAATACTACCAAATCATCAATTTCTTTCACCTGTGGATCCGATCCCAGGCTCTTATATCAGTCACCCCACAAATGATGAAGAAACACAAATGTCACTGAGAAATGTTCATTTTGAAATATTTGAAATTTGCCAAAGAAACTCTCAATAATTTCTTCTGAGACTGGAAAAGTTTTCAATACACACAGAATCATAGAACTTAAGAGTATGATGAGACCTAGGAAATCTGAAATTAATACAGTTCTTCACCCTCCATGCCTCCTATTTCATATATGAAAATTCTACGGATAAGAGATAAATATGCTCCTAACTTCTTAGTAAAGCTAGTAAGTGACAGAGCTAGGCCTGAAGGCTAGGTCTTCAGACTCCCGACCTAAAGAGTATTTGTACTTAATCATATACCAATCACAAGCCCAAATTTATTCCTTACAGTGTGTGTGAAGGTTGTGCATGGCATAGGACAATGGAAGGAATGCCACCATGTATTGAGAATTTACCATGGGTGGTCTTCTGTGATACCTTTAAGTTAATTATCTCTCTGTATTTTATCTCAACAAGGCAGGAAGCACTACTCCTGATTCTAAAATGCAAAGTGAGAACAGATTTTTAGAAACGTAAATAAGCCTGACCAAAGCAAGAATGCAAGGATGTGGCCTGGGTCTCACCTTTTAACAAAGCTCATGAATAAATCCACATTACATTTATGAACAATAAAGAAATATGCAAGTTGAATAATTTCAAAATATCTGCAATGTAACATTATGAGAAGAGATTCTTACCAATTTCATGCATTAAAAATCACAACAGTGTTAGCAGATCCATTTGTTCATTCAACAAACTCTCATTAAGTGTTAATTTTGTCCCAGGTGTTGCCAATATAAGATATGAAAAAGATAAATTCAGTGCCACTCTTATTTAACAAATAAATCATAAAATGGCCAGTGGCAATATAATATTTTTAAAGAATCATATAATTTCAGCAGGGTAGAAGGAAACAAAGTTGTAGAGGAAAAAACGTTTCAATAAGTGAGAAGCAAACTGAATGCTGTGAAGGAGATAGACATGAAAAGGCTTTGGAAAAGGGTAACCCAGGCCATGAGAACAGCACTGTAAAGCTCTAGATACAATCAAACCTTGACCTGTGTAAGGCAATAAGAAATCCATTGTAGGCTGAAGCCAAGTGGGCCAGGGCAAGTAGTAGGACACTAGGCCAGGGCTTGTCCATGTATGGTCTTGCAGGTCATTGAAAACACCTTCGCCTTTGCCCCGAATATGACAGGAAGTTTTTGGAAAGCACTAATAAGGAGACTGAAATGATTGGATTTACATTTTTAAATAGATTAAAATTTGCCATATGAAAAATTGATTGTAGGTGGGCAATAAGGGAGTAGGGTAATCAGTTAGGTAACTTCTCTAATAAATGTGTAATAACAGCATAAGTTGAAGTAAAATAACGGTCAATATACACTGTCTGAAAAACAAATTGCTCTTAAGCAGTTTGTTTTTTCATTTCCTTTCAAGGATGGAACTCATATACTTACTATTGTCATATATGATTTTATTCACTAAAGAGATATATATATAATATGAAAACCCTGAAAAACAGTATGAAAAAATCTTATCATAGAACATGTTTTCTTGTATAAAGCATATTAATTTTTTTATTGTTAATTATCTCTATGTCCCTCAAAAATGGGTATATTTATAACCATTTTCATTTTTTATCTTCATAAATTAGGGCTCAGTAAGGTTGGATGGCTTGGTTATAATAAAAACAAAGACCTAAGTGATTTCCAGCTTTGTTTATTGGGTAACAAAAATCAAACAGTCCTCTATCTGTATATTTTTTTCAGAGGAGCAGACATAATCTACTTGTCTCAAATAACTCTTGCAACTCAGATTCCTTTGAAGTTAACAGGAGGGCCAGGGTATGTGGATAATAAAGACTTTGGAAGGGATTATGTTTTATGTACCTTTGAAGGTACACTAAATTTATTTTGTGCTTGATAAACATAAACTCCACAGGCACTCATGAGAGAGCTGCATTATATTTTTAGATACAGAAATACATGGATTTATGTTTTCCACGTTTATCCATGCCACTCAAGCACCAATTTACTTATGGCTATTACTTGATTTAGTAGAAATAATTAACAATACTTCTTTTTCCCATTTGTTCCAAATGCAGCCTCATGACCTACTAATTCCTACTGAATTAGATAATGCCTACTTTTACACAATATCTCTTGGAAAAGTAACTGACTGTATTCTTTCTTAAATTTACTTTGTCTAACAAAGAACACCACCATTTGGAACAGAATTTAAAGATATAATTTGGGCCAGATATAAAGGGAATCCTTGTGTATGTATCCATGGTTGTTTAAGTATAAAAATCATCCTTTTATTTTGGTAATTGATAAAATTAACTGTGTTACACCATCTATGTATATATAAAAGTACACAGAATACAGAAACAAACAAAAACAGAAAAAATGTATTTCCTCAAACTATCCTGGAGACAATTCTATCCCCAAATTCATTCACAAATCAGGAAGCAGAAAAGATTACTTTTCATAGACAAGAAGGGAAAAGGAGATTTATCTTGGAGACAAACCAAGGTATTACCTGTTTGATGCCAAAGGACTCATATAAATCTACAATTTTGGGTCTGCTAGGTTGTTCTATGTCACAGAAACATAGCAATGGCTTAAGCAAATAGAACTCTGTTTTTACATAATTGGAAATTTTAAAGAATTTGGGCAATTTAGGTCTGATGCATCAACTCAAGGATTTTGTCAAGAAGCCAGGCTCCTTCTTCTGTCCTTCTCTGCCATTTTTAATGTTTCTCTCATTCTCTTGGTCCCAAGATGGCCTCACATCCTCTAGACACTGTATTTTAGTTTGGATATAAGGACGTAAAACAGTGCAAAGATCAAATAGCAAAAATGAAAAAGTCAATCATTTGGCTTCTAATTATATTTCATTGGCACAACTGTTTATCCAACAACCAGCCTAGCTAGGGGCTCGGACATTATTTTAGGTTGGGTAAGATACACCCACTCTCCAAAGAAAGATTTGGTAATAAGAAGGGGTAAGTTTGCAAGATAAAATTCAGGACAGCTTCTGGAAAAGGAAAAAATGGAGAAAATAAAAAGATCAGTGCTTGCTGTTGGGGAATTCAGGGGAAAGCAGGCAGTTCAGGGGAAGGTGGGAATAGGCAGAGCAGAGGGGGTTTTGGGGGCAGTGAAAATATTCTGCGTGACATTATAATCGTGGATACATATCATTTTACTTTTGTCCACACCCACAGAATGTACAAAACCAAAAACTAACCGTAAGGTAAACTTTGGACTTTGGGTGATTATGATGTGCTAATATAAGTTCATCCTTGGTAAAAAAAAATGTACCATTCTAGTGAGTGGTACTAGTAGGGAAGGCTGTGCATGTGTGGGGGGCAGGGGGCATACA